GCATGCATATATATATATATATATATATATATATACACACACACATTTTCCTATACCTGCACACATAATGTATATATAGTGTATGTATATGTATATAACATGCATGCATGTTGTCTTGTCTGTCTCTCTGCATGCAGTCTCTCTCTGTCTTTGTACATATAAGCCAAGCCAACCCCCCAGCCCATGCGCCCAGCCCATCCATGGGCAAGTCCGTCTGTCCATATATGTCATTCTGTCTTATAACGTATACAGCCCACCCAAGCCAGCCCCAGCCCGCCCAGGCTATATGGAGAGTCTGTCTGTCTGTCTGTCTATCTGTCTGTGTCCTCGTCTCTCTCAGACACCTTGAGATGCAAAGCAAGGTTCCATGAAGTGAGAGCACATGAAGCTTCGATGCATTCACCTTGTGCTGCATGGGGCGCTTGCTTTCAAGCTTTTGGTGGCTCCTGTTTTGTGAAGTTAATCTTTGAGCTGCCATGGCAGCCGGCGATCCTGTGACTCATAGGGTTTCAACGAAACGCCAGCAGTCACGAGACGACAGCGAAAGCCGGCCGAAGAAGAAGGCAAGGCCGTCGAAGCTTGAAGTGTCCCGGCACGAAAGACTCATGGTCTCCTTGCAGAAGTGTGCTACTAAGAGTAGCCTCGCAGCCCCTCCTGTTGCGATTAAGAAGGGCCGAAAAGAACAGCAAGAAACCGAAGTCGCAAAGGAAAAGAAGGAAAGCAAGGAGAAGAAGGAAGTCAAAGAGAAGAAGGAAAGCAAAGAGAAGAAGGAAAGCAAAGAGCAGAAGGAAAGCAAAGAGCAAGTCAAAGAGAAGAAGGAAAGCAAAGAGCAGAAGGAAAGCAAAGAGCAGAAGGAAAGCAAGGAGAAGAAGGGAAGCAAAGAGAAGAAGGAAAGCAAAGAGCAGAAGGAAAGCAAAGAGCAGAAGGAAAGCAAGGAGAAGAAGGGAAGCAAAGAGAAGAAGGAAAGCAAAGAGCAGAAGGAAAGCAAGGAGAAGGAGGAAAGCAAAGAGAAGAAGGACAGCAAAGAGCAGAAGGTCAGCCAGGAGCAGGGAGGAAACAAGGAGAAGAAGGGAAGCAAAGAGCAGAAGGAAAGCGCAGAGCAGAGGGACCACAAGAACAAGAAGGACAGCAAAAGGGGAGTGCAGGAGGCAAGCAAGGAGCAGAAGGAAAGCAAGGAGAAGAAGGCAAGCAAAGAGAAGAAGGAAGACCAGACGGCCAAGAAGCGGAAGAAGGAAGGCACAAGCAAGCAGGACGTGTCTGAGGAGCAGGACCGTGGACCGTGCACATTGCAATGGTGTCTTATAGTTTATGTAGATATGCAGTTTGTGCGTGGTGCATGAGTATAGGACAATGAAACGGCGGAAGCCTTCGATGAGGTGGCATTCCTGGAGGCGGAGCTTGCAGCTCGGGAGCTAGCGGAAGCCCAAGAGGACTCGGAGGTTTCAGATGGCGAGGCACCCGAAGCTTCGGAAGAAGCCAAGGACGATGAAGAGGAGGACGAGCCAGAGCAGGAGGAGACCAGTGCTCCAAGGACCCCAGGTGCCGGCGCTTTGGACAGTGACGAGGAGCTGCCTCAGTCGCAAGATTGTGTCTTGGACGAAGAGGACATGCAGTCCGACTCGTCAAGCGACCAGTCGGAGGAGAACGTGGACGGCGACTCCTTGAGTGACGCTGAGGACACAAAGGCGTTGAGTACGGCCGTGGCGACTGAGCCCGTTCGGAACAGCTCCCTAGATTGCATATATACATGCAAGCTTGCTGTTTCAGTTGCCGTGCGATATTGCGAGTGCATTTAAGGTGCCACACACAGGAAGGAATGGGCGGTTTTTGATCGTGCCAAGAACCGCCAGAAGTTCCCCGTCGCTCTGAGCAACTATGCGAGCAAGTCCAAGACGGATTTGTTTGCTGCATGGCTCGATTGCAATGGCAATTGGGACGAGCTATTTGGCTGCATGAGTTGTCTTTGGGTTTGCAGTTTGCTTGCGTGAGTTTGCGGTTGTATGGAGCAAGACATGTTTCGAAGGGTGCTGCAATGCTGTCAGGGTGAAGTTGGTTATGGAACGCAAGCATGAAAAGAAGAGCCTAAATCGCCAGGATGTTCTTGCTATTCAGGGAAAGGACTTGAAGACAAAGTACACAGACGAGGCAGAAGACTTTTCCGTTTCCGGTTGCACAGTTCAGGCTGAACACATTTGCCAGGCAATGTACAAGCAAGTGATTGCAGCAAGAAAAGCCGAAGGCCGCTGGTACAAAGACAAGGACTTCCCCGAGAACGAAGATGTGACTAGGTTTCATCCATGGGAGTTCTGAGCCGTGTTGTGCTGTTGTTCTTGCTGTGCATGTTATCATATATGCATTTGCTGAGGAAGCATGGTATTACATGCCGAAGGGCCACCTGCTGCGGCTTGACAATGCCACGAGCGAAGAACAAAAGTTGTCTGTCGAACAAGGTATGGATGAGGACTTGGCGAAGGTACTGGAGGAGAACAACCTGCTTCAGGCAGGCACCTTGCCTGCGGTACACGCAGCCACTGAGGCTGGCGAGAAGGCGCTTCTGGCCTTCTTCGATGAGGGTGCTGCTGTGGCAAAGCGAACACCGAAGCCCAGGAAGGACAAGGAGTCAACGGAGGATGCCAAGGAGATGGAACCGAAGACCGTGCGCCAGTTGCTTGAATGCTTTTGTTGAGTTACTTCAATGGTGTCTGCGCTGCTGCTTGTGCGTGGGTATTTATGCTAAGGCTGGTGGCAGAAGCGAAGCCGGAGATCCTGAAGGATGCTTCGAAAGCTCGGGAAACCTCCCTCACCCTGAACAACCTCAACTACGGTGAAAAGTTGGCCGAACAGCTGCTGAATTACTCCAGGCAGATGGAGCTGACCTACAAGAGGCTAGCTGAGCTGGAGGCAAAGGAGAGCACCGAGGATGCCGAGTTGAACAAGTTTCTGAAGTATGTGGCCAAGAAGAAGCCATGGTTCCAGCAAGCCCAGGCTCACTGATCTTGCGTTGCTGCGGTGTGCGAGTTTTGTTGGATCTGTGTGCGGAACACATGCTTGCTAAGGCAGCAGCAAACGGCCTGCAGTCTGGATTGAAAGCAAAGAAGAAGAAGGCAGGAGCCAAAGCAAGCGCCAAAGGTGCTGCTGCGAAGCCTGCCGCAAAAGCGGCTGCTTGATGATGATGTAGGTTTGGGATGCACCGCACATGACGTTTATCTTGGGACGATTGCATTCTGACGTGGGGTAGACTTGCCAGTAGGCGAGCCCTCGCTGGGACGTGCATGCGCACTTGACAGTTTGATAGTGTTCATTTGGGAGTCTTCCTGTTGAATGCAGAAATATGTAAGCTGCATGAATTTGCAAAGTTAGGGTGCATGTAAGATGCTCCTGAGACAAGTGTGCTATGCATGTCACCGAATGCCTTGCGAAAGCTCCTTTTGGGAACATGTGCAGCTGCCACGATGGCAAAAGCCGACGAGATCCGCAGTTCGTTCTGCTGAAAGAGTATGATTCATGTCATGCTGGTTGCTTGCAAACACGGTCTCTTGTGTTTGTGTGTTGAATTCCGAAGTTAGATTCTGCTTCTTGGCAGGCCGTGCTGATGATGATCGATCCAAGCCCAGGCTTTGCCGTTTGAATCGTCATGTGCTTTGGTCAGTTCATGTTGCTGTACTGCCATGATGCAGGCCTACATCCTTTCGTCGGAGAATGAACTATGAATCTATGCCACATTCTCATGCAGCAGAAGAGCTTCTGGATATGATTGGGAGTGGCAAGGCCCATGTGGCACATGCTCAAAATTTGGCGCAGGCTATGATTCGGGATGGGATTCCAAAGGAAGCTGTCTCTGCTTTTGCGAGCCTGGGATCATTTGGGCAGCATCCTTCGAATGCTGAGCGTGACCTACATAGATGGCTGAAAGGTATCTTTGGAATGTGCTTGGAACCATACTATATAGACTTGCTACTTGAAACGGAGGATGTTGATGAGGACGCCGGGAAACCTTTGACGGCAACCAAAAGGATTCCTGTTCTCCTACCACACGAGATCTTCGCTGAGCTTCATTCTTCAAGTGCGTATCAGGTTCCGACCGGACACAAAACACCGAGGGAGCACAAGACTAACCTTTTGCGACAATCTTTTCTCGTTTGTTTTCACGCATGTCTCTTTCCGTGCGAGTGGTTCTAAGGTTTGTTGGTGCATCTTGTTACATAATATGACTCTTTGTTCCCTGTCAGTTTGGTACGAGCATGCTGGGGCACCAGACACCGAATGCGATCAAAGAATTTTGGGAACATTTGCAACGGTTTGCGCCGATGGATATCAAGGGTCATCCGGCTTTGGAGAGCTGTGATCTCTCCGAGCTTGTGCCGCTCCTTGTTCACTTTGATGGTGCAGAAATGTACAGGAATGCTGAGTACAACATATGGTCTTTTTCCAGTGTATTTTCTTCTATGCTGGATGTGGATTGCATCCAAACTCAATTCTTGTGTTGTATCCTTCCTCATATTGCGATGGAAACCAAGGAGGCCTGTGGGGGATTCCATTTGAACTTCGTATAATGTGTCATAGAAGTAGAAAGTAGAATACATTCTTCTTATAAGTGACTTAAGCCATTTCCCAGGTGAAGGACCACGTGCACACTGAAATCGCGAAGCTCATGAGCTGGTCTTTCAAAATCCTTCAAGAGGGTCGCTTTCCAGATCGTGGGTATTATGGGGAAGAGCTTCTTGAAAAATCGAGTCGGGGAAAGAGCCGCGGGCTGCCCCTGGCCGGCGGATGGAAGATTCTTGAGCTGCAGCTATGTAAGATTTTGGGTAGCCGGTCTGAGTTGCAGGTCTGTGCTGTCCGTTGTGAAGTGCATGTAATTCTGCAGGGCGTGCTTCTATGGATTTCGCGGGGACCAGAAAGCGAGACGGGAGTGTCATTTCTTTACACGGCACTACAACTGCAATCTGCTTTGCGACCAATGCGTTGCCATCAAACCATCAAAGAATATGGTCCGTGGGATGAACTACAAGAACTTTTCTGCGAATGCTCCTTTTCTTCTCACGACTATCAGTCACGAAACGTATTTGAACACAACTTCAGCGAGTGACCTGTCGCCTTGGACGGCGATGCCAGGCTGGAGACTTGAGAATACGTTTTTCGATTGGATGCATGTAGTCCTGCTTGGAGTGGGAAGAGATGCTGTTGCTGCCGCCATCAAACTGATGGTCATGCGGGGACTGATTGGCTGGGATACAAAGCGAGCAGATCTGAAGATGTTGACACTTTGGATCAAGAAAGAATACAAGAGCCGGACTGGGTACCTGGGCTTTTTGAAGAACGCTTTTTGGTTTTCTTCTAGTAGTTGGCTTTTAGCTGTGTTCGTTGGTGCATGTATCATGATTTTCACCCTGAAGGAAATCCTTCTCTGTGATATCTTTGACCCCTGCAAATGCTGGCCTGGATCCTTGGACCGAATACCCGGAGCTCGGGACAATTTTCAAGGCTGCGCAAGTCAAGATCCTGATCTGGGGAATATCGAGAAAACTCCAGGAGGTGGTCAAGCGCGTTCAGGAGTTCCATGTTCCAAAAAATTCCGCATTCCCCATGCTGTTCTAAATTTAACTTTTTCTTTTGCATGCATCCATCTATCTCTCAGTGCCTCTCTCCCTTTCTCTCAATCTCTCTTCAGCTCTCTCCCTCTCTCTCTCTCTCCCTCTCTCCCTCTCTCCCTCTCTTGCTCTCTCGCTCTCTCGCTCGCTCGCTCTGTTGCTGTTCTCTGTGCCGCAGGATGAGGATTTGGTGAGAATGGCTCTGGCAATGCGAGGGCTCAGTGAAGCTCAGAGTTTGCTGGACAACGGCGGCTTGAAGTTCACTGGAAGCGAAGCACGAAAGTTCGATGAAATGGTGCACTTGCATTTACGAACGTGGCAAAGGCTGGCTGTGAAATTCGAGGACCTCCTCATCCCTTTGTGCAACATCCGGCCCAAACACCACTATCTACAGCATCTTGCTCGGTATGTGCTGCGGACCCGAATAAATATTCGGATACACCAAAACTTCGATTCTGAATCCTACATGGGGAAAATCAAACGAATCGCCTGCAAATGCCATTCGACTTCGATGTTGCTGCGAGTCCAGCAGCGCTACATCCTGTACTTGGCGTTGCTCTGGGATCGAGCAAAACGAGCATCAGTTGGTGGGGATGTCAGGGCAAAATCTTTGGAAGATATCTTGCTCTTGGAGGAACGAAAACCTTTCAGTAGCAGTGCTGAGAATGCGAAGCGACGATGCTTGCGAGGCTGAACGGTGCGATGGTCGCAAAAAAACGGCTCCTGGCCAACTGATGGGGATCGTATTCCTGGGCTTTCGAATGTGGGTGCATGTTATGTTTCGAAAGTTCATCTGATATTCATCTTTCTTCGAAGTTCAGAGGCCTTTGCGGTTTTCTGGCCGACGTGGTTTTTTTTAGGTCATGAGCATTCAACCATGCAGGTCATATTCAGGATCCTCTCGCCCCACACAACCCGACCTCTTAAATTAACGATCGCCGACAATCTGCGGTAAACAGTAGAATAAGTACGCAACGAAATCAGGGAACCATCATGTCTCGCAACGAGTCTTATGCAGATGTGTGTGTGTGTGTGTTTGCGTGTCTGTGTGTGTGTGTGTGCTAGACATGCTCGTCCCGCATGCAAAAAACATGTCACACATCACATGAAGACCCAGTCAGCTATATAGCAACCTAGAAACCAGCCGCCGTATGTTGCAAACCAGTCGAAAGAATTTAAGTAAGTTACTGATACACATAGATGTGCAGATGATATGTATACATATATATATATACCCCATATGACCCTTAATGCTTTTGGCTCAAATGTTGTTGGTGCAACTTTGCGCCAACAACATTTTCAAGTGCTGGCTCCTATATATCTATCGCAAGCAAAGTAAACGCCATGAGCGCAAGTAAACGCCATCAGCGCAAGCGTTTTTTGCATCAGCGGACGCAGCCACTGTTTGGAAAACACTTTGCATGCATTATAATGTATTATGGCATTTGCTGTTGTTGCATGGTCGCGGCAAGTAAACGCCATCAGCGCAAGTAAACGCCATCAGCGCAAGTATTAAACGCCATCAGCGCAAGCGTTTGCATGACCCTTAATGTCTTTGGCTCAAATGTTGTTGGTGCGCGCCAAGCATATATATCGCATAAACGCCATCAGCGGACGCCATCAGTCATCAGCGGACGCAGCCACTCACTTTGCATGCACATAAAGTAAACGCCATCAGCGCAAGTAAACGCCATCAGCGCAAGCGCCATTTCTTTGCATCAGCGGACGCAGTCACTATACACATACCCCATATGACCCTTAATGTCTTTGGCTCAAATGTTGTTGGTGCAACTTTGCGCCAACAACATTTTCAAGTGCTGGCTCCTATATATATATATATATATATATATATATATCGCAAGCAAAGTAAACGCCATCAGCGGAAGTAAACGCCATCAGCGCAAGCGTTTTTTGCATCAGCGGACGCAGTCACTGGTTTTGAAAACACTTTGCATGCCTTATAATGTATTATAGCATTTGCTGTTGTTGCATGGTCGCGGCAAGTAAACGCCATCAGCGGAAGTAAACGCCATCAGCGCAAGCGTTTTTTGCATCAGCGGACAGCCACTGTTTGGAAAATACAATCGAGTCTGCATGCTATGCCTGTCTGCATGGACAAACGCCATCAGCGCAAGTTGCCATGAAACGCCATCAGCATAATTACATTGGCATGCATACCATGCGTATACGCTGCGTATGCAGCGTATACGCTGCGTATAACCAGCGTATACGCAGCGTATAACCAGCGTATGGCATACGCCGACGCTGGAATTACGCCAATGCAATTTGTATACGCTAGTGTGCAAAACACACCTTCGGATCCTTACGGTAATACAGGCAATAATCCAACTTGTGGCCCCGTTTCCAATGCAGGTCGCAACACCTACGTGGAGTTGCGCTTGATGCCGGTCGATATCCGGCAGGAGCTGCGGACGCAGCAGGACGGTGGGATGCTCGGAATGAGCTCGTCGGCGCGGTCGGTGCGTCGGCTCTTCCGCATCGATCCAAAAACGCGGTCAAACCCAGGTGGAAGTCGGCCGCTGTATCAAAGTCGGCCGCTGATTCCGCCGCTGGAACTCAAGGCGCTAGGTGCTGCACTGTTTCACAAGGCCACCGAGACAGATCCTGTGGCGGGGGTTTTCGATGGGCAACGGGACGCTGTCGTCGTCTTCGACAGCCGTGTCAGCAAGAACGCTGACAATATCCGGCGCGAACTCAACAACCACAACAAGCAGCACGCCAGCAAGTGGGGGGCACGAGCACTGATCCAAGTGCGTATGCTCTTTGGCAACAGTGAGTTCGAGCAAGGCGGCGAGGTGTCGGCGAAGAGACTTCCAAGCACGGTGTCGCATGCGTCGTGTTTGCCGGAGCCGCTTGAGACCATGTGGCTGCTCAAATCGAAGGACTTGCAGCTGCAGGTCAAGGATCGGCGGTTCGTAGCGGTTCCTGGGACGACGGCCAGCCGGGGTTGGCAAGATCAGAAGTTGAAGAGGGGACAGGATCGCATTATCTGCAACCTCAAGTCGAGCCTGAAGTCGGCCATGTTAGTCGGCGCACAAAACGACGAGGACAGCGATGGCTTTGATGATGCTGAGGTGGACAATGTCAATATTCTGCACCCCTGGGAGACGGAGTCGGCGCAGGCTAGGGAGCTCCAGAACATGTTCAGCATGGACGTTCCTTGTCATTGTTTATTGACCGACGCAAGCTTCCAAAGATGCTGTTTTAGTCTACAGGTGCGTGTTGCAGTTAGCAGTTTCTAGGTCGACAACTAACTGGCTGCTATTGACTGCGACTGACTACTGTTCACTACGACCGCTACTACCTACTAGACTAAGTTACTACTGTTACTACTCACTACTAGTAGTAGGTAGTAGTAGTAGTAGTAGTAGTAGTAGTAGTAGTAGTAGTAGTAGTAGTAGTAGTAGTAGTAGTAGTAGTAGTAGTAGTAGTAGTAGTAGTAGTGGTAGTGCTAGTGGTAGTGGTAGTGGTAGTAGTAGTAGTAGTAGTAGTAGTAGCAGTAGTAGTAGTAGTAGGAGTAGTAATGGCTAGTTAACAGAGAAGTAGTTGATGGAGAAGTAGTTAAGCCGTCTAAGTGTAGCAATTGTCGTACCAGTAGCAGTCTTAGTAGCAGTAGCAGCAGTAGTAGTGGTGGTAGTAGTCGTAGCAGCAGCAGCAGTAGTAGTCGTCCTAGCAGTAGTACTACTAGTAATTGTTAGTAGGAGTAGTAGTAGTAATAATAATAATGATAATAATAATGATAATAATAATAATTTGTAGTAGTAGCAGTGGTAGTAGTAGTAGTAGTAGTAGTAGTAGTAGTAGTAGTAGTAGTAGTAGTAGTAATAGTAGTGGTAGTGGTAGTGGTAGCAGCAGCAGTAATAAAAGTATTTGGTCTGGTAATTCAGTAGCGGTTGTGGTAGTAGTATGTAGTAGTAGTAGTAGTAGTAGTAGTAGTAGTAGTAGTAGTAGTAGTAGTAGTAGTAGTAGTAGTAGTAGTAGTAGTAGTAACTGAACGTTGTATTGAGTTGTTGTTTTTATGTTACAAGATGCATGGGCTGCTTGGCGGAGGGATCTGCACACGTATCGAGTGACCATCATGCCTTGGCAGAGCAGTGCTGGCTGAACAGATAGCCAGCCCCTTCTGCATGCAGCAAGGCTACACAAAAGACCTTCCCTACTAAGCCATGGTAGCAGGTTTGCTGCATCGGCCCCCCAGCTTCTGTTGGGGGACTGCTTCCATGGACAGGTGTAAGATGATTTATCGCTCACACCTGCCTGTCGAAGGGAGGCACAGTGTTGTGTTCTTCAGAAGTTGCTTGCTGAGTGTGCATATGTAGTCTGGTCCTGTCTCGCCCTTTCATCATGCTTGGCTCTAGTTGGCTTTGTTCTGTACTGCGCTTGATTCT